CTTGATACAACATCAATGGTGTGCACGTCTTCGTCAGCTTAATGACACACTCAGATTAACTATGATAAAAATGTAGTTCTTTGTTGAACACATTAATAACACATACATGCTTTGGGAAATAAAAAAAAGGAATCTTGTCGGATTATATGTTAACAGTATTGTTGAAGGTAATTTTTGAAAAGTCAAATTTAAAACATTAATATTAGGCGAATTTAGAAATTAACCTTGTACAACACAATCCTTCGTCAATGAACCAACTCCGTCATTTATCATACCCATTCTTTATCCACGAAACCATCAGTATTCTCATGTGTACTACATGTGTAACAGCAGCAGTAGCAGTGAACATGATCATGTAACACGACATACAGAGTGGGCCCACAGTCATGTATCGTTACACAATATTAGAATTATACATAAGTCACCTCATACTAAATATTCATGTTTGACACTGAATCAGAATGAATGACACTTGATGTCATATTTAGTATGGATGTTTGCAAATGATATCTCAAAATACACAAAATGATAAATTCTGAAATTCACCTTCGGTTTTTGTTTGTAGGTTCACTGCTGGGTGGCTGTACCATGTGTCGTCTGCTACCGATGTACGATTTCAGGTGAGCGTTACCAAACCGGAAGGTCAGATAAAGAGCTCCACTTCAGGCACAGTTTATCACAATAAGGTCACAAAGTAGCTGGTGACGAATGAAGGCTATTACAGGCCGTAACGAGTCCTCTGTATGTCCTCTTTGTACAGCTCTTATGTCTACACAACGCGGCGTTCACATCCACAATGGCGGGCGTAACACACATGTCTGTTGCTATATCGATCACGACGCCAGGGCAAGCCCTACCACAGCGATTGCCTCTGTGCGAATCTAAATCGAACAGAAAACTCTAGTTGAATATATGGTATGCATGCCTGAGAGTATGGTGGGAGCTGAATGGGTATATTTTAGCTTCAGCTGTCAGAGTATCGACCCCACCTTTCACATATCTAATATCAATAATTCAAACGGTTTCATTTCATAGTTAGCCCCTGATAGCCTGCATCCACCTGCCAATACTATCTTATTATTGCCACGCTTTTGGCCATAACGTTCACTTTTAATACAGTCAAACAGCTCATTTTGTCTGACAAATTCTACAACATGTATTTATGGCCACGATTTTATAACGTCTAAATCATACACGCTGTTGTAATATATCGATTTGTGCCAAAGAAGGTTATTATTATCAAATCTTATTACTCTACTTAAGATCGTCAATCGTAAGCTGGAATATGCTCTACGTTGCGATGTCAACGACTAGAAAAGTAATTAGTTTCTGGAACTAACGGGAAATAGTATTACATATGTATGGAAGAGTACGTGAATTTCTTTGAGATGACGAAAATTCTTCTGATACACGTTAGGAACTAACATGCATAAAACATAAGTTTTCATCAAGCACGTGATGTTAAAACGTACTTTATAAAGGAAGCGATTCAGATACTTATAATCCAGTATCAGACGGGAACATATCGGCTCATACATATACAATAGGAACGCGCGCGTTACCGCAAAATAAGGAGAATGTCATTATTACAGCATGTTCAGTGGTACATATACGAATAGGTGACATTATTTTATTAGTTTGTCTCCGCAAGAAATCGAATTTTATATGAAATCTGCTAAACGCATTCAAAGAACTCATCTCGTAAAGGTAAATATTGTAAAATGTCTTACTAAAGCTTTGCTTTCCGTTTCTCTCCATTGACTTATTCATGTGATATATTTATGTTTACAACTTAATGTTAAGGTAAGCTGTGCGAGTTTATGAGGGAGAAGATCAAGGTATTACATTAAACTATATTAATTACCAGAGAGACATGGAAAGGGACACCCTTTCGAAAATACCGTTTGTAGATAGCCAAACACAGTAAATATTTCACTGCATCGTATGGTCAATTTGTCAGTGGTACATACAAACAAAAGTAAAGACAAATCACGTCTAAATTGTTCCAACACGTTTTTAGAATACAACAGAACAGGAAACGTGTCTATAGAACTCTTAATAATGTTACACATTTACAACGACGGATTACAGTGGGTAATTAAGGCAGACTTGAAGAAGGTCTATGTATAATACTGACTTAAGTTTGCGAAGGATGTGCAATGTACATGACCGAGTTGTCTAGGGTAGATTAATTACATTATATTGGCAGTCTGTTCGAGAGAAATATGTGAGAGAGTTGTATCTTATGTTAAACGTTTTGCATGTTCCTGGACTTTTATGATCGTGTTTAAAGAAGGATAACTCTAATCATCAGTGTGTCATAAATATGCTGTGAACGAAAAACTGCAATAGAATATTTTTTTCGAAATAAAAAAATGTCCACAGTATGAACTCTTGTAATAACATGTCTCGAGGGCCTGGTAGCACCATGGTTATCCAATGTAGTACCCTGGTTGAGCCATGCAGTACCAGGGTTGTCCCATGTAGTACCATGGCTGTCCCACGTAGTACCATGGTTGTGCCATATAGTACCATGGTTGTGCCATTTAGTACCACGGTTGTCCCATGTAGTACCATGGCTGTCCCATGTAGTACCATGGCTGTCCCATGTAGTACCATGGGTGTGCCATTTAGTACCACGGTTGTCCCATGTAGTCCCATGGCTGTCCCATGTAGTCCCATGGCTGTCCCATGTAGTACACTGGCTGACCCATGTAGTACCATGGTTGATGGGCAATGTAGTACCATGGCTGTCAAAGGTAGTACCATGGTTGTACCATGTAGCACCATGGCTGTGCCATGTAGTACAATGGATGTCCCATGTAGTACCATGTCTGTCCCATGTAGTACCATAGTTGTACCATGTAGTACCATGGCTTTGCCATGTAGTACCATGGCTGTCCCATGTAGTACCATGGTTGTGCCATATAATACCATGGCTGTCCCATGTAGTACCATGGTTGTGCCTTGTAGTACCATGACTGTCCATAGTAGTACCATGGCTGTCCCATGTAGTACCATGGCTGTCCCATGTAGTACCATGGTTGTGCCGTAGGGTACCAGGGCTGTGCCATGTAGTACCATGGTTGTGCCATGTAGTACCATGGTTGTGCCATGTCCTACCATGGCTGTCCTATGTAGTACCATGGTTGTGCAATGTGGGTACCAGGGCTGTGCCAGTATGGCTGTCCCATGTAGTACCATGGCTGTGCCATGTAGTACCATGGCTGTCCCATGTAGTACCATGGCTGTCCCACAGTCTTACACGTATCGGTGGAAAAAAAAGCTCCAATGACAAGCTGCAAATGCTGAAAAACAGCGGATCCGAGCATTTGCTCTGCCCATATCTATAACAAGCCAATCAGGATAAGTAATTTCAAATTCATCAAGTAGACGCTAGGCCGAGTTCTACTTCTTTGTACCAAGTAAGATATATTATGTTTACCTAGCAATAGACTCGTATGTTATTTGTGTTGAAAAAGATCAAAGTATGTTGCCATAACATTATATTTGTTTTATTTCGTATCTTATGACATACGCTTTGTGTAACATACTCCGAATACGGTTATAAATATGTCACAGAAATCACTTATTCATGTTTGTAAAAGACACGTTTTGAGATTGTGTTTGGAATCACCGCGTCATTTGACTCAAACAATGCAAACTGAAGGATATATTTCATACCCGTCTACTGTCTCTTTCCATCGGTTGCTCCCTTGCATCCGTCCTCATAATGCCCTTACTGTTGCAATGGCGTTAAACCCCAATCAAAAATATATGTAAACAAACAGATAAAATAGTGCAATGCTTTCTCAAGAAAAGCATGTCTAGACAAACTGATGTCACAATAATACAATGAAGTAAAACATGTGGACTTTATAAGAATAACATATGGAGCTGAGACTTGGAAAACAACATAAAAACCTGCTTCAAAAACTTCAAGTCTTCATCAACAACTGTCTCAGGCGCATCCTTAACATCAGATGGCATGAAAAGATATCAAACCAAGATCTGTTGGAAAAGACCAATCAATCCCCAGTGAAGATGGGTACACACTGAGGAAGCCAAATAACAGCATTACAAGGCAAGCCTTACAGTGGAACCACAAGAAAAGCGTGACAGGTGCAGGCCGAGATACACCCCGAGAAGAAACGTTGCAGCCAAGATGGAGAAAGAAGGGTAAAAGTGGCATGATCTGGAGAGGCTAGCAAAACACAAAACAAGGTGGAGGAATATCGTTAGTGGCCATGCTCCACCAAGGGACAACAGGATTAAGCATGTCCAAAATTGATCAGCCCACAACAGAGAGACTGGAGTAGGTAACATCCGTTGTACGAAGCCCGATATGGCTCTGCGTTAATATGGATATATAACCTTCACCTTCTATACATATATTGACATTTTGAATTGATAATTAATTGTGATTTATATATAGGGTTGCGTTGATAAATTTTCTGAACTAACAACATTTCTGAATCATCCTCACATCCCCAAAATGTAGATATTCTATAATAAGTAATAAATATAACAGTGTTATCAGTAAAATGAATATGACTCTAAACTGTTTAACAGAAGGCTAACTCATTATTCATTTGTAGTCATTCTGTTTATTATATCGTCAGCCAAATGATTTACAATAAACCCTTCGGTTAACACGCGGGGAAATATCAAAGGTAAACACGATCAGATTTGTCTTTGTATGTGATTACTCCAAATACGCGTTATCAGTATGGTAGTTAACATCTATGTTATGATATTAGGCTTGGTTTTTAAAATCCATAGCGGTATACTGGTGAGTATATGACGTGAAAACATTGCCCATTATTATACATGTATATTGATTAGCATGATATGACAACGAATTCATTTATTTTGTCGCAAAACAAAATATTTCTGAATATGTTATCTCTAACTTTTACACAATCAAATACAACGTCAATATTTACCTGAACAAATTGCTTAACGCGGTTATCAACATTTTCTCTAAATATAGCCGATGACAGAGTACACCTAGAGAGGTGTGTGTAATTGGTCCAAGTTCCAAGGCGATACTTCACACTAGCCGAGACGCTAACATGGAGAGGCTGTACGTAGTCCTCGCGGTACTGTCCGTCGGTTTGGCCCTCTGTACCTCGGTCGACCTGCCACAAGACGACGACGCTCCTGGCTTCCACGAATGGTTCCTGTCCAACAACCAATCATACGAAAATCACCCGATTCATTTCGAGAACCCTCTACCGAAATGGCTTCGAGGAACACTGGTTAGTATATGAAAGGATAGTTCGTATTTTAGTTTATAATATCATGTATAATAGCATGTGTATTCAAAGAACAGATATCGGTATATCCTGTCATACGAGTGAAACATATATGGTATCCAAATGAAAAATCATTTGATTAATTACAACCAAGAAAAAGTGGTTTCATCAAAAGAGTTGGGTGAATTATTTGCGTTATCTTTGGTGCACATACTCTTCTTTCGCTTTTTCATTTGACCAGAATTCAGTGAAAAGAGAGTATTTTTAGATTAGTCAATACCAAAAGTGATATTTCCACACTCTGATAGATATCGGGTAGAGTGTGACAGATACCAAAAGTGATTTGATTTTTTTTTTTTTTTTTTTTTTTTTTTTTTTTTTTTTTTTTTTTTTTTTTTTTTTTTTTTTTTTTTTTTTTTTTTTTTTTTTTTTTTTTTTTTTTTTTTTTTTTTTTTTTTTTTTTTTTTTTTTTTTTTTTTTTTTTTTTTTTTTTTTTTTTTTTTTTTTTTTTTTTTTTTTTTTTTTTTTTTTTTTTTTTTTTTTTTTTTTTTTTTTTTTTTTTTTTTTTTTTTTTTTTTTTTTTTTTTTTTTTTTTTTTTTTTTTTTTTTTTTTTTTTTTTTTTTTTTTTTTTTTTTTTTTTTTTTTTTTTTTTTTTTTTTTTTTTTTTTTTTTTTTTTTTTTTTTTTTTTTTTTTTTTTTTTTTTTTTTTTTTTTTTTTTTTTTTTTTTTTTTTTTTTTTTTTTTTTTTTTTTTTTTTTTTTTTTTTTTTTTTTTTTTTTTTTTTTTTTTTTTTTTTTTTTTTTTTTTTTTTTTTTTTTTTTTTTTTTTTTTTTTTTTTTTTTTGGATTCAGTTATCAAAATGATAGATAGAGGATATTTAACAGTTTCTCGTTAATTACAATATGAAATGAGTATGACAGAATAGTGTTTATTTTTTATGCGTGCAAAGCAGGAGTTAATATAGTTTGCCATATTAGGGAAATGCGTATGATATACTACGGGACAACAATTAAAGTTTCTATTTATAACATTTGTAAACAACTACTACGACGAAAATGATGCTACATCAAAATAGTTGGGGGTGTTACATTGTATTCTTTGGCACTATATTATTTTGGCGTCACTCTCGACAACAAGGCTGTGCGCCAGTTTGAATGGACTTCCTAAAATAGTTTAAGCTTTTTCTGCATTTGTCTTGTATTGGGTTTTTTCAGGAATGGTATCAGTAGTGCAAGTTAAATAGTGTATATAGCAAATATCTTCCGAAACAACCACTTACTCTAACGTCATTTCATCCGCACATCCTAACATAATATACGCAGCTTTGAATGAAGTAAATGGAAAGTGCCGTTCTGATTGGTCAATACCAAAACAATATTTCACTCTCAATTTTAATATCTGTCACTGTGTGAATGAGATCATTTTACCAGGTTTATAGAAGTTGATATCTTACTGGTAAAAAATGTAAAAGTAAATAAATATATACAGAGTGTTACATATGCAATTGTATCCTCTTTATTGCTTTAGTATTGGAGTAGTTCGGTTAACAATTACGGAAAAGTGAAATAATTGCAGAACCCTTCGATAGTCAAAAAATAACCATTAGAGACAATTAGGACAAGGAATGGTGAATTAAGACCAGAAAAGAATTGAGGCGATTGTAAGGAAGGATTTCTGTTATTGGGTCGGATGCAGCATTTCTTTTATTTATGTATTTGTGTTCATCCATGTTTAGGATGCATACTTGTTCTCTATTTAAACGTTTTATTCTGGTTGGTAAGTATAGAACATATACAGGTCTATATATCACATCCAGCAAAATGTATATTTGTGATTTTTCAATGAATAGTACGTATATCTTGTCTCTTTCATGAAAAACGTCTCATAAAAAAAACATTTCACTGGTTGTACTAGATGAACCTGTATACGATGCGTACTAACTAGCTGACTCATTCATAAATTCCTGACACACTCTTATGTTATATTACAGATCAGAAATGGAGCGGGCCAGGTAGAAATGGGTAACAGGCAATTCGTTAACTTCTTTGACGGATATGCAAAACTTAATAGCTGGAAGTTTCCGGGCAACGGATCTGCATTCTTTTCCACAAAATTTATCCAATCTAAGGTTTATACCGAGTCCCTTGCTAAGAATGACATAGCACCCTTCCTCACTTTTGAAGGCGTCTCTCCACCGTTCGGGGATGTTGAGCGATATGAGTCGTTCTTACTCAACATGGATAACACTGTCGTGAACGTATTCAATTACTCCAACAAAATCGTAGCCATGAATGACATCTGGAAGGTGTATGAAATTAACCCACATACACTGGACACCATAGGCGTTGTAAATCCACCAACACCACCGTCCAAGTTCTCTAACTTGGCCCGACTGAATGTGATGTCCACTGCTCATCCTGTGGCAGAGCATGGCACGGGTGCCAATTTTGACATCCTGAATACCTTCAGTCTGATACCCGGTACAAAGGAAAGGTTGTCAGTTGTTCGAGTCACTTCTCTCGAAGGACGCGAGCTCGTCGCCGAATGGGAAATTGACCAAACATCGTACATGCACTCGTTTTCTGTCACGCCGAATTACGTCATTCTGCTCGCTGCTCCGTATTACATAAACATGAACGACATGCTGAAGTACGCTTCCGTTGTTGGAGGGATGCAGTGGAACGGTCAGGACAACGCTACCTTCTACGTTGTGGAAATCAAAACTGGAAAGATACACACCCTCGTAACCGGAAATGTCTTTGTAATTCACCACATTAATGCATTTGAACTTCCCGACGGCAAAATCGCTTTAGATGTCCCCGCACAACCAAACCCATACGGCTTTTCCATGTATGACTTGAGCTATATACATAACAAAACCGCTAGAGTCCACTTGCCTGCCAAACCTGTTCTAACGCGTTTCACTTTAGATTTGCAAACCCAAAGTGTCCAGCGAGTGTCTTTTGAAGATGGACCAAAGGCTCCCTGTGTTGGTGCTCTGGAAATGCCGGTATTCAACGAGAACTACCGCCATATGAACTACTGCTATATATATGGCCAGGTGATCAACTATAACGGGAAGGGTTTCAGTCACATCGCGCTGGTCAAAAAAGATGTGTGCGACAACGCCGGGGACCTGATGTATACCGCGCCCCATCAGTACCTTACAGAGCCCTGGTTCGTCCCTAACCCTGACGGCAAGGCGGAGGACGACGGCGTGTTGATGGCGTCTGCATTTGACGGGGACAAGAAGGAGAGTTATCTGTTGATGCTTGACCCTAAAACAATGACAGTCATCAACCGATCCTACATGCCTACACGGGTACCCTTCAACTTTCACGGCAGGTTCTTTGATATCGTGTGATGACCGAGAAGCCGGGAGGGGTGTGTTTAAAACAGTAAAGATATATCTTTTTATTAGTGACACCTTTATGATAATCGTATTGATGGGAGCTGGGCATGTGATTAAAATTAACAGAACGATTGGAATTTTTCTTATTTATTATCTGCTGAAGTCTGACATATGCAGCAGATTCGTTCTCCCCGGTTGGTTAATGGATCTGATATAAAAATAAGGAACGTTGGTCAAAACCAGTGTTTATATGATATACGATATAGTAACCAGCGCACTGATTAACAGTGAAATACGGACGTGAAATATACTGCATAGTTGTTCAATTTTGTGGTGCTAATATTTCGTCGTTGTTTCGATCAGAACTGGTTCGTGGAGATGAAGTTTCGCATAACATTTCCACGTTAAAATATCGCGCTCATGGAGGTACTTTAGCATTTCGTTGATGGGATTGAAGTTAAATGCGATATTGAACTGTGTTATCTCCATTAAAAGGGATTAAATGGGTGAACGTATTTTTTCTTTCGGGTCTGAAAATGTGTTTTACAGAAATTGTAACTCATGATATTATATTCGCGCACTCTTTGGTGACCTCGAATATAGCAAAATAAAATCCCCGCGAATATAACAAACTTTATAAAATTGCTATTATAAATCGAATAACACAATTAAACTATTGGCAGTTTGTATATCACAATTTTGTATGCTCCAATGAAAACATAATTGATATCTCCACGGCTTTATATATCGTTCATTCGTGTCTAAAGCTAGACAAATATCTTTACTAATATATATGGCAAAATATAACAAGAGGTTCAACGGGTCTTAATACTCACATGAGTTACTTAAGTTAAAAGTAAGAACACTTCTTTTGGAAGTCACAAGTCAAATATTGAAGTGTATATTAAAAAGAAAGAAATGTGAAAAAAAAGAAAAAAACAACAAACAAACAAACAAAAACACTCTACAATACTAACGGATGCTTGTCTATAAAATAACAATCGTTATACGCAATATAACTTTAATATAGAAATAAGATAGCAAATTTATTAGACAAGAGACCCAAGGGTCTTGATAGTCATCTGAGAGATGTAATGATATTGCTTGTTGTTGTTGTGATTTATCACAAAAAAAATGTAGGACTTTTCCATCAATTAAGAGGATTGGATCCTAACATTTCAGCCCAATTCGTAACATCATCGAGAGTGAGTCAAACTCTTAAGTTTCATATCATCAAACTGCAATTAGAAGATGATAATTCCAATCAAGTTTTAATTATTTTCCATTTAAAGTGATGCGTGATCCAGGGGTAATGGAATTCACAAGTTTGATAAAGCACCGTAAGGTTCAATAAGCCGCCTCCTAAAAGATGTAATAGTCACCCTAAATTTCAAACCTCTGGTATGTCATATTTACAGACCCTTATTAAAAATCGGAATATATGTATATATTTATAATTTAGATATATTGATTTTGTAAATAAGCTACTTGAAAGGTACATAACCATGTTAACGTCGTCAATAATAAAGCATTAAGGCTGATTTCTTCATAAAAATAGTTCACTGGACTTAAAACATGTCAATCTCTTTAGCGAACTAACTGAATCTTAGGAAATGACATATTGTTTAAAGTTTATTTATAAACCTAGGTACTGCGGAGCTTAACATCCCTTTAACTAGGTGTTGAGATACATACCGGCCTCAAAAGCAGATGATTGTTCCAAAACTCATGATAAAACGTCAGAGTAACATATTTTACTGGTAAAGATGTGTAAAACCACAGACCTATGAACATAAAAACCACTTAAACTTCATATAAAGTATCCTTTCTTAACTTTTAATGTTGTTATTACTAAGATAGACATGCTATAAACATTATCGCACTTTTCAGCTTCAATGTTTATAACATGTCTAGCGCCTTCATAACATCACAGAATGTTATTAAATGGCATTTCATCTAAGTTCATTTATCGGTCAAGGTTACTTTTTTTCTTACCTATAATCTGCTAAAATAAATTACGAGGGTATTTTACTATGATTTAAGTGGTTATGCATGGCAATAAATATCTTTATTTGAGGAAGGAATTCCTCTCAACAGCTAGTAGAAGACAAATAAAGCTCCGCATACATTTACCTCAGAATGAACTCTCGAGTACAACATATACCAAATTATCAACATACGAGGACAAAATACACTATAGTATTAACAATCAATTAGAAAATAGACCATAGTATAAACACACAAGGACAAAATATACCATACTATGAACTCACGAGGACAAAATAGACTATAGTATCAACACACCATGACAAAATAGACTATAGTATCAACACAACAGGACAAAATAGACTATAGTATCAACACACCAGGACAAAATAGACTATATTATCAACACACCAGGACAAGATAGACTATAGTATCAACACACCAGGACAAAATAGACTATAGTATCAACACAACAGGACAAAATAGACTATAGTATCAACACACAAAGACAAAATATACTATAATACCAACTCACAAGAACAAAATATATCATAGTATCAACACACGAGGACAAAATATTCCATAGTATGAACTCACGAGGACAAAATATACCAAAGTGTGAACTCACGAGCACAAAATATACCATAGTATCAACACACCAGGACAAAATATACCGTAGTATGAACTCATGAGAATAAAATATACCAAATTATGAACTCACGAGGACAAAATATACCATAGTATAAACACACAAGGACAAAATATACCATACCATGAACTCACGAGGATAAAATATACCATAGTATCAACACACAAGAACAACATATACCATAGTATCAACACACGAGGACAAAATATACCATAGTATCAACACACGAGGACAAAATATAACTTAGTATCAACACACGAGGACAAAATATACCATAGTATCAACTCACGAGGACAACATATACCATACTATGAACTCACGAGGACAAAATATACCATAGTATCAACACACAAGAACAACATATACCATAGTATCAACACACGAGGACAAAATATACCATAGTACCAACACACGAGGACAAAATATAACTTAGTATCAACACACGAGGACAAAATATACCATAGTATCAACACACAACGACAAAATATACCATAGTATCAACACACAACGACAAAATATACCATAGTATCAACACACAACGACAAAATATACCATAGTATCAACACACGGGGACAAAATATACCATAGTATAAACACACAAGGACAAAATATACCATACCATGAACTCACGAGGATAAAATATTCCATAGTATCAACACACAAGAACTACATATACCATAGTATCAACACACAATAACAACATATACCATAGTATCAACACACAAGAACAACATATACCATAATATCAACACACGAGGACAAAATATACCATAGTTTAAACCCACAAGGACAACATAGACTATAGTATCAACACACAAAGACAAAATATACCATAGTCTAAACCCACAAGGACAAAATAGACTATAGTATAAACTCAAGAGGACAAAATATACCATAGTATGAACTCACGAGGACAAAATATACCATAGTTTAAACCCACAAGGACAAAATAGACTATAGTATCAACACACAAGGACAAAATATACCATAGTTTAAACACACGAGGACAAAATAGACCATAGTATCAGCACACGAGGACAAAATATACCTTAGTATCAACACACGAGAACAAAATATACCTTAGTATCAACACACGAGGACACAATATACCATAGTATCAACTCACGAGGACACAATATACCAAAGTATGAATTCACGAGGACAAAATATACCAAAGTATAAACACACCAGGACAAAGTAGACTATAGTATCAACACATGATGACAAAATATATCATAGTTTCAACTCACGAGGACAACATATACCATAGTATCAACACACGAGGACAAAATATACCTTAGTATCAACACACGAGGACAAAATATAACTTAGTATCAACACACGAGGACAAAATATACCATACTATGAACTCACGAGGACAAAATAAAAATGGAACTAACGGGAAAAAGTATTACATATGTATGGAAGAGTACGTGAATTTCTTTGAGATGACGAAAATTCTTCTGATACACGTTAGGAACTAACATGCATAAAACATAAGTTTTCATCAAGCACGTGATGTTAAAACGTACTTTATAAAGGAAGCGATTCAGATACTTATAATCCAGTATCAGACGGGAACATATCGGCTCATACATATACAATAGGAACGCGCGCGTTACCGCAAAATAAGGAGAATGTCATTATTACAGCATGTTCAGTGGTACATATACGAATAGGTGACATTATTTTATAGTTTGTCTCCGCAAGAAATCGAATTTTATATGAAATCTGCTAAACGCATTCAAAGAACTCATCTCGTAAATATTGTGAAATGTCTTACTAAAGCTTTGCTTTCCGTTTCTCTCCATTGACTTATTCATGTGATATATTTATGTTTACAACTTAATGTTAAGGTAAGCTGTGCGAGTTTATGAGGGAGAAGATCAAGGTATTACATTAAACTATATTAATTACCAGAGAGACATGGAAAGGGACACCCTTTCGAAAATACCGTTTGTAGATAGCCAAACACAGTAAATATTTCTCTGCATCGTATGGTCAATTTGTCAGTGGTACATACAAACAAAAGTAAAGACAAATCACGTCTAAATTGTTCCAACACGTTTTTAGAATACAACAGAACAGGAAACGTGTCTATAGAACTCTTAATAATGTTACACATTTACAACTACGGATTACAGTGGGTAATTAAGGCAGACTTGAAGAAGGTCTATGTATAATACTGACTTAAGTTTGCGAAGGATGTGCAATGTACATGACCGAGTTGTCTAGGGTAGATTAATTACATTATATTGGCAGTCTGTTCGAGAGACATATGTGAGAGAGTTGTATCTTATGTTAAACGTTTTGCATGTTCCTGGACTTTTATGATCGTGTTTAAAGAAGGATAACTCTAATCATCAGTGTGTCATAAATATGCTGTGAACGAAAAACTGCAATAGAATTATTTTTTTCGAAATAAAAAAATGTCCACAGTATGAAAACTCTTGTAATAACATGTCTCGAGGGCCTGGTAGCACCATGGTTATCCAAT